ATATATATATTTCTTTATTGATTTCAGAGAGGAAGGGAGGAGAGAGAGATAGAAACATCAATGATGAGAGAGAATCATTGATCAGCTGCCTCCTGCACGCCCCCCACTGGGGATCGAGCCCGCAACCCAGGCATGTGCCCTTGGCCAGAATCGAACCTGGGACTTGTCAGTCCACAGGCTGACGCTCTATCCACTGAGCCAAGCCGGCTAGGGCTAGGGGAAAGCTTTTAAAACTGGGGAATGGCATGATCCAATCTAGGTTGCGTAAGATGGCGCTGAGGCAGCCGTGGGACACAGCAGCAAGGTCTGCCCTAGGTGGTCTTGATCCCAAGCAGTGGGTCACTGGGGCCCAAGCATGTGGACTTCACATACACATGGCTGAAGGCTTCCAAACTGGGAAGGAGCCCATAGCCTAACACCCTAAACACTCCCTGATGATGGACCCCATTACCTTCCTCCAAGGGCTTCATGCTGACAGGTGGGGGGCCCTGGGAGAGAGGCCGTGTTCACACTGCGCCTGCAGATTCCCACTGTGGAGCCAGCCCAGCTGGAGAGCAGAGTGTCCTCTCCTCTCTCCCCTGAGTGCGTTGCCTCCTCCGTGGGCCCGTGGACCATTAGAACAGTGTCCCCCTACTTAACCATGAGTAAAACTTGCCATTTGGTGGTGGCTGGGGGGCAAGGAGAGGGGCTGCTGTGTTTCAAAATGGCATCAACAGAAAAGCAATATTAAAAGAATGAGGAGGTTGTTTAGTGAGGCTTGAAGAGGCTACAGGTGTTTCCTCCAGCAAGTGAGAATCAGTGACCCCATGGGGATAGCATTTCCCGTGAGCAGGGCCCATGGCAGACTGAGTCCCCCCTCACATCCTGGTGGTGTAGAAGCCTGGAGGGGGGGACCACAGCAAACCCAGAGTTTTCCATGGGGACCTTTGGGGCTCCTCGTTTGTGTGGGGACACAGAGGACTGGACACACATCGCACACAGGTCGCCCTCATTCACCCTTTCCCACTCACCACACGTCACAGCACACTCTGGCCAAGTCGGAAGGGCCATGGCCTAGTGCGCCCGCGGGTTGTTCAGGTCCAGCTGGCGGTCTCTGGCCAGCGGTCTGCAGCTGGCGGGCTCTGAGGGTGCGGGTGGGTGACAGGTGGGTGACAGGCAGCCTCCTGAGGATGCGGCGGGGCCTGGCCGGGGGGAGGATGTGATGACGCTGTGCCTGTGCCGCTGCGCAGCGGGAACCCGGCCTTTAAAAAGCTGAGGAAGCGGCCCTGAGCAGGCAGTGGCTACACTGGAGGAAAGCACACCCAGGTCTCACATTAAAGAAGCCAAACTGTCTGCTTCAAAGAAAAAAGGCAACATCCTGTCACAGGCCATGCTCTGGCAAAAATGTAAGTGCTGTGCCTGTGGCTGTCGGAGCCCCATCAGCGTGGGTAGGGGCGGGGGGCTCACCAGCTAGCCTGAAACTGGGAGGTGGTGGTAGTGGAATGGGGGGGAGCAGGGTCTGGGGTCCCACCCAGGAGCGCAGGGAGGAAGGAGGTGGGTGAGACAGAGCCCGTGGAGAAAGCACCCTGTCAGGGTGATCAGGGTGATGCTGATTTTCCAGGTTGGAGGGGAACGAACTACTGTTCCCAGGTGGGAAGGCTGTGGTCCCTCGGCTGCTGGGCATGAATCACTGCGGGGAAGAAAGGGCGGTTTATGATTCACAAAAACAAAAGTCAAATGTGATATTGGTTTGGGGCAGGGAGGGGAAAGCCAGGGAGGTCTTTGCATGACTTTATTTTATAAACAGCTGCTCTGTAGCCCACGGTTTAGTTCCGTGGGTCCGCTGCTCTCTGACTCGCTTAGCCTCTGCCAGGCAGGTGTGGTTTGTATCTGTGGACGCCGGGGGGACACGGGAGGTGGGCTTTGTCACCCGTGACTTTATCACTGCACTGTCCTGCCTCTTGTCATTCTTCCCATTCTGTGGCAAGGCGGGTGCAAAAGGACAGCAGGTTTATCTGTTACCTTTATGTTTATCCCTGGAGTCGGATGGAACAATTGTGAACTTTATTTTCCATTATGTGGGACTGAATGGAGACTCGTGTTATTAATAATTGAAATCATACAGAGATTATCTACAACATTTCTTTCTTGAAATAAGAAAGTCAACTCAGTGGCCACATGCGAGTTGAACCTTATTGGGGCTCGGATCTGGACTTCCTCAAGAAAGAAGTATTACTAAAAAATGGCTCTATCGATCATTTTAAAATGCCTTTTCGTGAATTCAGGCATGCTCTACCTCAAGCAAACTTAATATAAGAAAATCTAGATTTACAGAAAAAGATAAATTAGGGAGTGTATTTATTTTACCAAAGATATTCTATTGGAGCCCTTAAAGGTCTGAAAATATACCTTCATTGATTAAAACATAACTTACAATCCCTTTATCACCAATTCATTGTTCCTGTATTTCTTGTGTAAACTCCCTGGAATTGAGCTGGTTAATGTGTAATATGGAGGAGTGACTTCAAAATCTCTCAGATCATGAAGTCTCATCATTGTTGGATATTGGCAAGATGCATTTTTTTTAAATAAAAAGAAATGAATTCTAATTTGGGTTTGAGAGTCATGGAATCCTTCCAAGAGAGTTGGGGATATTCTAGTATGGGTGGTGTGTAACTGCTACCAGAGGATTGGCCAGCCCCCTGGGCATGCCTATGGCCAAGGGTGGGTCGGCATCACTGCCTCTACTGGGAGCTGTTGTGGGTCCCTACACCCTGACACTCAGAGCTGAGTCAGTGGGGGTCTATGTGAGCCCCCTGGAGGGACTTTTGCTTTGATTCCTATCTACTCAGAGCAAGGCACTCTCCTTTTATTTTTAATTTTTAGGGTTATCCATGTAAAATGGGGCACAGGTAATCGCCATTCTGCAGAGGCCCCCTGAGTAAGCTGAGATGCTGCGGAAATGATGTGGATTGCCCGGGTTTTGCTTCAGTGTCTGAGACAGAGGCTGCTTCTTGCATTCATATTCTCCCCTCTTGGTTACACACTACATTTCTCCTTCTTTAATTCCTCCTAAGAGACTAGAAGTTTTATAAAATGGGACGCTAGAGGCATGCTGTCTGCTCATACCCTGGAGGTCAAATCAGGGGCCACAAAACCCCATCCTTAGGGAGACCGTGCTGTAAGCTCATCAGTGGAATAACGGGGCAAACTTTCCCCATGACAGATACACATAGTGAAGATTCTCTCTCATTGTCCTTTGGCACCTTAAAGGGACTTGGGGAAGGCCCCAGGCACCAGAGCCATGCTCTTACCCTGGGTCCAAGTAAGGCCCTTGTCTAGGGCACTGAGGGCACCTAGGTGACTAAGCCCTGTGGGAAAACCAGTAAAAATAGGGCAGCATGTGTCAGCCCACTTCGAATCACCTGGTGGAAGGGCAGGGTTTGAAATCAGACACCAAGAGTGCTGAAAAGGCACTTTCTTTTTTCAGAAAACATCCTGGAGGCATGAGCTGAAATGACTGTGCTATGAGGTTCTGGAAAGGGTTAAGAAAACATTCACTTTGTAATTGCTGCCTCCTCCCTACCTGGCCCATGACCCTCGTTTGTGGACTAAATGTGAACATGGGCTTTAGTTCAGATCAGATCAGAACTGCTGGCACATAGACATGGAAATCTTCAAGCCCCATTCATGGATTTGAGCTTTGCTTGACTGATCAATTGGATAAAGTAGTCACTCAACCTGCAAATTCTCCCCCTGGCTTCTGCACTTGGTCCTGCAGGTTCCGTGCAGAGGTGAAGCACTAACATCCACCCCAACAAGAAGCCCTTGTTCAGGCCATTTACTAACAGTCAGTGAGCGGAAACAGCAGGAGCGATGGAGTGAGATGAGTCTGGGGTTGAAAATTGGCTCTTCAACCGAATTATCTCACCTTATATTCTTAAAAGCCTAGCAAATGGGGGCTCTAATCACCACCTTACAAGGTTTTTGTCAGAGCTAAATGAATGTCGTCGTCTCCTGATAAGTAATGATAGTGATGAGCGAGCCCTTTCCTCCTGCGACACCTCCGCGGACCCATCTCGAGTGATCAGGGTTGCTGCAGATTCCTTCATGTCTGTCCTTCCCCACAGTTTGATTAGAATGGTTAAAAGGGCACAAAATATTCTTGAGTGATAAGATCTTACAATTAGTTTTCCAAGGCTCTGTCTAACTCAGGGGTCTGCACGCAATGGCCGGTGTGCCAAATATGTTCCAACACATCTGTTTTTGTAAACACAATTTTACAGGAGCACATCCGCGTCTATTCGTTTACATGTTGTATGGGCTGCTTTTGTTACAACAGGAGAGTTGAGTAGTTGCCACAGGGATTATCTGGCCTGCAAAGCCTAAAAATTTACTACCTGGACCTCTACAGATAAAGTTTGCTAACCTCAGGTCTAAACTAATTTAGGTAGTTCTTTTGGTATTCACTTCCTTAGGTCACTCAATATCCTGAGCTTGCACAAAGCCAACACCAATGGAGACAAAGCTTGCAGTCAATTGATTAAATGATTTGCGCAATGCCTGAATTAGATCTGGTTGATTTCCTCTTTAAAAGCAATGAGATTGTGTATAATGAACTCAATACCACCTATAGAAAATGAACGAATTGAACAACTTTTTTGTTTTTTTTTTTTTGTTTTTTTTACTCTTGTTACTTGTGTAGGGTAAGACCCATGTGATGATGAAAGGCAGGCCTGAGTGATTGTTTTTGAATTGTCTGGTTGTCTTGATGTCCCATAGACTTAGCTTTGACATTTCTTTGCTGTGGTGCTCAAGGAGGCACGTTAGGAATGGGGAATAGTTATCTCAAATTTTATGGTATAGATGTGCCCTTGCTTTTAGACAACTTAAACAGGGGCAGAGGTTCAGCGGACAGATAAATTAAGGTCTCAAAATTCTCATTAACATAGATCTCAGGATTTACTCCAGGGTTCCACTAAATGGCCAACTCTTTTGAGGCAGTTAAAAATGCAGGCATGCCCTGGCCGGTTTGGCTCAGTGGATAGAGCGTCGGCCTGCGGACTGAAGGGTCCCAGGTTTGATTCCAGTCAAGGGCATGTACCTTGGTTGTGGGCACATCCCCTGTGGGGGGGGGTGTGCAGGAGGCAGCTGATCGATGTTTCTCTCTCATTGATGTTTCTAACTCTCTATCCCTCTCCCTTCCTCTCTGTAAAAAATCAATAAAATATATTTTTAAAAAATATATAAAAATGCAGTCAAAGATAAGAAAAATCTATAGCATACATACACTTTTTATAACTCTTTCTCCTGCATAAGTTCAGGCAAACTTACAACAAGAAGTAATTTAGGTCTGTGGAGTGCCTGTTAATATTTCTATTCTGTTATCACCATTGCTTACTTAATAAGCCTAATAAGCACCTTTATTTCTTATCAAGTTTATTGATTAATTCAGTGTTTTCTTGATAAGGGCAAGTAGGATCTAAAAGACACACAGGGATTCAATAAGTGACACACATGTACTAAGCACACAGATTAATTGGTAAAAGAGCAGATGATTTTCAAGGTGGGAACTTTACTTTCTTTTCTCTATATTTACAAAAAAAAAATGCCAACTTTGTCTCCTTCTATACCCAGAAAGTCCCTGAGTTAGAGATTTTGAAAGCTTTCTTCCAGTTCAAAGCTGCAAATCTGTTCTGTTGTGAGGATCAAAAAAGAACCAAGGTCATCTACAATTCTTAGCTAAATATCTGGATATTTAATTCAATTCATTAGAAGTCCTGTATATTTTTGCTTTTAAACTTCTCAAAGTAAAGGTTTAGGTTTTATTTTTTTCCTCTGACTTATTTCTAAAGTTTATTTTCCCACGCAATAAAGATATCCATCAATTTCTCATTTTGAGCCAACCAAACCAAAGTTGGCCAATTGATTCTGATCATTAACATAATTTTCGCCTTTCTGATATATTTAGCAACATGCAGTTTTTGCATTTTTATAGAACAACTGCTTGGTCAGAGTGGGCCTGCCTGGGATGGAGAGGCCTTCTCTGAACCCTGTGATCCTGGTTGTATGAAGCTGTGGATGAAGCATTGCTCTTGCAGGCAAAACATGTGATCCTACTTTCGAGTCCATGGGTAGTAAGTGTGGGGCTTAGGCAAGCCACCTCATTGCTCTCGGTCTCCAGTGTTGCTGCTGTAAAAGGGCCTCGAATTTCCCTGCTCAGGGCAAAGAGGTTGACCTTGACTGAACTCCTTTTCCTGCTCTAATTGCTGAGCTTTCATGGGTGCTTATAAGAAATCAATATATGCTTTCAAACACAAGTCCCTAGTTTAACAAAAGGGGTTCTTGCATCTGCTTGGAGAAGTACTTTTCAACCTTGGCTACACATCGGAATGCTCTGGGAGAT